CAATGATATTTTTAACACAAAAGCAACAGAGGGATTGGAATGCCTGTAGCTTTCTCAATTTGATTATTTAATGAGAAAATCGGCATGGCTTGATGAGTGCAATTGGTACATTAGAATTTGGTAAATGTTTGTGTTTCTTTCACTCGGTCACTACATAATCTCCACATTTACAGTCTTTTAATTACACTCTTTAACTCCACCAGGACTTCACCATGACCTTGTATCTGAGACATTACTGGAAGGATGAGCGTCTGTCCTTCACCAGCAGCACCAACAAGAGTATGACGTTTGATGGCCGTTTGGTGAAGAAAATTTGGGTCCCTGACGTCTTCTTTGTCCACTCTAAGAGATCCTTTATCCACGATACAACTACTGACAATATCATGCTCCGGGTCTTTCCTGATGGACATGTGCTTTACAGCCTGAGGTCTGTAGTATCTCTGCATCTGATTTATTGACAGATCAATATTTGAATCAGTCTCCAATTGTATTTTTTAATTGAATTATTCAAATTATTCCTCTCCAAGTTTCTTGAAAAGCGATCTGGAAGCTTTTGCAATTTTGCTTTCAAACATCAATGGATCTCATTGGTGGAGGAATTATGCCTCAGGTTAATTAAAATCTTAGGTGGGCATTTAAACAGGGAACATGTCCTGGATGGCCGGGCAAGTTTCACCATAATTTAACAAAAATTGCATAAAAATTATATAATTTGTTTTTTAGTCAGTTTTTAATCATGGTCACTTTGCTTTCAACTCATAATGTACCTCCAAAAGCTACTTCATCAGACAGAAGTTATAAAGTAAACCAGGATTTCTAAGCATGAGATTTTCAGACCATATCTGATTCCACACTACTCACTTTTAAGGTTTCGAGCATTCAGCGGATTTCCTTTAAATCCATCCATCCATCTTCTTCCGCTTATCTGGGGCTGGGTCGCAGAGGCAGCAGCCTAAGGAGTGGAGTCTAGACCTCCTTCTCCCTGGCCACCTCCTCCAGCTTTTCTGGGGAAACAGTAAGGTGTTCCCATGTCAGCTGAGAGATATAATCTCTCCAGTGGTCCTGGATCTGCCCCGGGACCTCCTCCAGGTGGGACATGCTGAAACACCTCACCCAGGAGGTATTCACAATTCCATTCTTTCAGTCACTACCCAAAGCTTGTGAGGGTAGGGACGTAGACCAACCACTAAATTAAAAGCTTCACTTTTACACTTCACCACGACGAACCACTCCAGTGCCAGTTGGAGGCCATTACCTGATGAAGCCAACAGAACCACATCATCTGCAAAAAGCAGAGATGAGATTCTGAGACCACCCAAGTGGAAGCTTTCCGTCACTTGGCTATGCCTAGAAATTCTGTCCATAAAAATTGTGTCCAACACCCACTGGAAATGAGTGGGTGCGGGGCCAGCTATGTGGATCAAGGTCTTGGG